CATTCCATCAGTGCCCACATCTGGTAGCCTTTTCCAAGGGGTATATAGCCCTGCCAGGATTCTTACCACTGTGGCAGCCTCTTCATCTTGCTCAGGCTATTCAGGATCACTGCCCTCTTGGCCAGCAGGAGATTCAGTAGCGCTGCCTTGGGGCCTCTGTCCTAGTACCCCACCTAGTGGCAAGGGACATATCTGCAAGACTGCTGTCTTCCCCAGCTGGGAAGCAGTCCTCTGCTCACAATCAAAAGTTTCCTGAAAGAGGGAACTCTAAGGAGGAGTTTCATATGGAGAAGACCGATTTGGGGATAAGATGAGGAGGCCAACAGCAGAGGCATGAATGGATATGTAGAAACTGATTCTATCTCAAGGGTAACACACATAGGCACTTAGTAAAAACACAGCATGCAAGTTGTGGGGTAAAACAGGCTAATTAGCGGACAGTGAACACTGGTGGCCATGAGGAGTAGATTGTCACACCCAGCCACCCACCAGACATTAGGCTCCACACTACTCATTCAACAACTGTGATCCCCCTCTGCCCTCATAGCACCCCTGTTTTCTAGATGAGCAAACAGAGACTCAAGAGGGTTAAGTCCTTTTCTACAAGGCCAAAACTGCTGAATAGAAGAGTTAGGATTTGAACTAGGTGTAACTGAGTCTAAAGCTCATGCCACTTTCCTGAGTGTGAGAAAGATGGGACTGCTGACTGTCTTGGGAAAAGACAGGACAGAGATCTCAGCTAGGAGGACATTGCAGCAATGCAAATTTGGGTTGAGGTGGTCGCTTTGGAAATGAAAAAGGAAGAAGTATTATCGGAGTGAATATTGTAGGGAAAGTCTTGGTAACATACTTGGTGGAACAGAGAGGAGAACGAAAATGAAACTGACATCAGAAAGCTAAAAGCCAAATGCAGTGGTTAAGGCGAAGCTTGGAATGTAAGACGACCAGGAGTGTGGGGAGAAAAGCTAGAGGTGAGGGTAAATTTAGATACATCCAGTGCTGAAGGCAATGTTCTCAGAAATAAGCCTAGCACTCCCTTAAGAGTTTTGGGGGCTGCTGACAAAGATTTCGGTCATCAAATCTGTCTGATATATTTCAGCATGGCACACGAGGATGGCATCACTGCTTCTCAACTTCTGTCAATACAGACTGATTACTGTGGCTACAATGGAAGATGCAGGCTATTCCAGAACGTCCAGCATGCAGGTGAACTGAGACGTGAAGTGGAGGACACATCACAGTGGTGTTAGAGGGACTGGGTAGGTGAGCACCACCAGACAGCAAGTAGTTGCAGTCAAAGTGAAGGGCAACTAAGTATATAGCAGGCTGATTACTAGCCATTTTCTATGGAGCAGTGACTAAGTGGCAATTGTTGCTGAACTGTTGTTTTCAGTGTGTATTGCTTCCTTTTAGTGTACTGCCAAAATTCTAATATTTGAAAGTGTGGCAATAACATAAAATCAAGGTGAGCAGCCCCAGCACACAGTTGTCACTGAAAACAGGAGCTCCCTTGAGAGAAGAGTTGTTCTAGGATTGAGTTTTGAGATTAGCCAAAGAGTCAGAGTCCCTGGCAGTTGAGGTTATGTTTGGAAGGACATCTCTCTCAGAAAACCCAGATTTCACTTGAGGGAAATTTCTCCCAGTGAATGGTGGAGTTGCCCTTAGCCCTTTCATGTGGCTACATGGTCACTGAAAGACCTGGGTCAAATCTCACAGTCTAAGTACTGGGCTTCCCAAAGAGGTCATTAACCAAAAACTGATAACATGCATGTTCTTTTCGGTCTTTCCCATAATCATAGAACTTACAAAATAAAAACAGCCCAAAAGAAAGAATTTAAAATCTGATAGAGTGTGAAAGACCCTCAAGAGGGTCCTAGTGACACCAGTCTGCATTTTAGCCCTTCACCTCTTGGCCAATGCCTCACGGTGAGGGCAACTTGAACTCCCTTCTCTCTTTACACAGCCTCCTTAGGGACAGTCTACTGACATTGATACCAAGCATGCCCACCAATGGCTCCAGCTGCTCATAGTTCTAACACCATGGAGCAAAAAAGGACTAATACACTGGACATTTCTTTCAAGGAGACACACAAAATGAATTCTGCTCCCTTGCCATCCTTGCCGCTGCCCCTAGATCCCTCTGGTCCAGCCCCATATAAACTAACTTTGGCTTGAGGCTGGGGAAGGAAAGAGCAGGGTTGGGATGTGGAAATCAGCTGAGCAAGAAACATGACCACTATCTGACAATTTTGCTCATTATCTCAATTATAACGGAATTACATAAGGGAACCGCCCACTCCTAGCATGCCCCTGACACTAGGACAGAACTGAAGATACCAAACAAGGTCAAGAAAGAGGAGGACCCTGGAATCCTCCACCCATTTCTCCACCCCACACTGAGCAGATTATTAGGGATCAGCCTAAAAGGACAGGCCCTAACCCCAGGGTGGAACTATCCCTTCTTGGATCAATCTGTTCTTACATTTTTTCTTAAGAGCATACTGTTTTCAAAATATCTCTACTTCTGTTATGCTTCATGTTTATTGTTTCTCTCACTCATGCCCTTGCACTTGAATTCCTTCTTGTGGGCAGAGGGCAAGAACTCTTCCAGTTGCAGCAGTCCGCACAGTCGCAGTCCAATGTTAAGTGCCCTCTCTTGCTCCCCATGCCCCTCCACCTCTCTGCTCCATCTTCACGTGAACTAAGCTCTGCTCCCTCTATTCCCCAGTCCACGTAGGCGATCTCTGGTACACTCCCTCCTCTTTCCCCCCAACTTCAACTGAATTCTCTGGTTCGCCCTCACTTGAACCAACCTCTGTCCTCTCTAGGTCAGAATGCCACTCTACTCCCGTACAGCTCTCTGCCCCTCCAGCCCTGATCTCCACATCTCTCTAGCCCAACCACAAGGGCTGACCCCTCTGCTCCCTTCCTTTCCCTCCCCTGCCGTGCACCTCACTTCACTCCACTTCCCCTCCCCAGAAAGGAACTGGCCGTGCCTGCCTCTCTTGCTCACATCAGCCAAACTCATACATCTCTTGGTACACCCACATGAAGCGACCTCTGCTCACTGTAACTCCCCATCAACTCTCCATGCCCCTCCTGCACCCTGGGCCTGCCGCACTTGAACGGTCCTTGCTCCTGGTTCATCCTATCCCCCACCTCCCCACCACATGGCCACCCCCTACAGAAACTCTACCAGACTCACATGAACTTACCCCTGCTCCCTCTCACTCTCTTCCCTCCTCTAATCCCCTGTACCCCTCTGGAACACCCGTACATGCACTAACCTCTTCTCTCTGCCCCCATGCACCACCATTCCCCTAGCTCTCCTAGTCCTGATCCACATGAACTGACCCCAGCTCCTTTGCCATCTACTTCTGCCCAGTCTTTCTAGCACTCTCATCTGCCTCCACATGAACTCCCTAGTTCCCTCTGCTCCATCTTCTTGACTCCCTACAGCTCTGGTCCAGTCCTACATGGCTGACTCCCACCAACTCACTGACTCTGCTCCCTCTCTATTCCCAAGCCCCATCAAGCCACTTGCAGACCCAGCTTAGCATGTTCCTATCCTTAGGGATAGCATGATGCTGGCCACTCTCTGTCCTTAAGAGATTCCTGAGGGGTTTTCATTTATGGGAACATTATGCAGAAGACAAGAATGTTTCCAGGGTGGTTAATTAGCTGAATTTAGCCATTCCACAATGTACACTTATTGCAAAACATCACACTATACAGTTTTGTCAATTTTAAAAATTAATTTTTTAAAAAAACAATGCCTATTAGTAAACACCAAGACAGCAAAGGTCAAATCCTTCCAGGAAATGCTGTCAATTAACATTGAGGACAGTAATCAGAAAAGCTTCATGAATCCATATTTAACAACAAAGCTTACGTGATAAGGACTACAAAGGAATGAGAGTGAGACTAAACATTAGTGAACCCCCCTTGCTCCTGAACCCCTACCAGTCAGGTCCTTTGTGTGAATTTTATTCACACTTCAGTGACTCTGAGTTAAACACAACCCTTCTCCCTGCTGCAGACAAGAAACTCCAGGCACCTGGAGAAGTAGCTCACCCCAAACTGCCCAGGCAGAAGTGGAGGGGCACATGAGAACCCAGAGCTGAGGCTAGTCTGAGCATTTCTCAATGACTGCCCCCTCCACATGAGGCTGGTTTGGGGGCTTAGTAGAGCTCACATCCCTGGAACCTCATGTCCTTCAGGATTCCAGCACCCCAAGGAGGGCTGCCAACTACTATACGTAATGCCCAGATCAATCTGAATTTCAGATTAACAATGAATAAACAAATAACAAAAACTCAGGGCTCTACTTACAATTTTTTAAAAATTCATTTTTCATCAGAAATTCAAATTTGCCCAGATTTTCTTCTTTCGTTAGCTAAATTGGGCAACCTTATCCCCAGGTAACTAGGAAGCCCCCAGAAATCATGTGTGAATAAATGAACATTCCATAATTGTTGTTCATTTTCCATGCCCCCTCATCCCTCCTAGCTTCTCACTGTTACCCCAGAACAGAGACTTTAATGCCACCTACCAGGGCCTCTCTTGTCAGTAGTCCTGTGCAGGGCCAAGAGGGCAGCCAGACAGGGTCACTGAGCCCAACCCAACCTCAAGAGTCTATGAGCTACCATAAACACATAAATTCATAGAAGCTGACTGAATCCATCCTAGCATCAGAATGGCCTCACTGTCCCTGTTTTATGCAAGCACAAATTACCAACAAGACTCTTTTTTGGCCTTACACTTTGTTGATGCTATTTTTAGGGCATCATTTAGGCTTAGGTAAAATGGAAATTCTACCAGTTTTACAAATCCACGGGTTCCCAAGGCTATAATTCATGCCAAGAAAGTAGCAAAGGAATATTTCATTTTCTGTCCACAAGCTGCTAAGGATTTTATATCCAACAGGCTGCCTTCAATACAATGGTTGAGAAGATGAACTCATAATCAAGGCTAAAGAACTCACCCTTAGAGAACAAAGATTGAAACTAAGAAAGGTTTTATTGTTAAAACAAAATAGCAGTAACGCACATCCAAATCCCAGTGCTAGAGTCCACTCATTTTTGTGAGAGAAAACTACATTCAGGCATCAACTAAAAACTGGAACTACTGAAGAATGCCCAGTGCTTGTGGTGACACAGGTACAATATGTGCTTGTCTAAGAAGTCATTCTGTGTTTCCATATAGGTGGGAAAGCATGGCAAGAATGAAACAACACAAGGCAAAATGGCAGGTGCTCAAAGCCTAAGACCCCTTCTCCACTCTAATGTGCTCTCGTTTTATGTTTGAAAATTCACCAGCATGTCATTTTACTGTAATATCAAAGAACACTTCCCCAAAAAGTCTAAAATAGATTCGAGGTCACTACTAAACTCATACAGGGAGGTCAATAAGGGAAAAATAGTTTGGGTTCTCAAAAGCCAAATCTCACACAATGGCAGGCACTACTGTTGCTGCATGTGCTCGCAGTGGAAGATGCCGACCTCAGTACAGGCTGGTCTTCTTCATGATGCGCAGGAACTCCTGCTCGTTGACTTCACCATCTCCATCTCGGTCAGCTTCATCAATCATTTCCTGCATGGCAGTAGGATACAAGTTGGATCAATTCATAAACTAAACTAAAAGGTGATTAAGCAATAGACTTTCAATAATGCTACATGAATAGATAATTATAACCCACTCAATGTCAACATGCCACTTTTTATAATAGCTCATTTCCTGAAACGTTATAAGAAAACCCAGTCATACTTTGTCATATCATCTGGAAGAGAGATTGAAGATCATCTTGACTAGAGGGATCCCTGAAACTTAAGATAGTTAAGTAAAATTATACATGTGTACATTTTTCTGGAAGCAAGGTTCATAGGTTTGTCAGACTATCAAAGGAGAATTAAGTTGTCAGCAGAAGGACAAGAGTACACTACCTTTCCTTCAAAGAGGTGCTCACAGCAAAGAAAATGTAACTCAGGAAAGCTGCAAATCAGGGAGACACAGTGGCTCACACCTGTAGTCTCATCACTCTGGAAGGCCAAGGTAGGAGGATTCCTTGAGCTCAAGAGTTTGAGACCAAACTGAGCAAGAACAAGACCCCTGTCTCTACTAAAAATATAAACACCAACCAGCTATTGTGGCAGGCATCTGTAGCCCCAGCTACTCAGGAGGCTAAAGCAAGAAGATGGCCTGAACCCAAGAATCTGAGGTTGCTATGAGTTATGACACCACAGCACTCTCTCTACCCAGGGCAACAGAATAAGACTAGCTCTGGAAAAAAATTTTCAAAATGTTGCAAAAAACCTAAAGGTGAATCTGACACATCACAAACCTGTAGCTCCTCATCAGTCAGGTTCTCGCCCAACTCCTTGGCCACACGTTTCAGGTTTTTGAACGATATAGTCCCAGTTTCATCATCATCAAAGAGCTTGAAAGCCTTCAGGATTTCTTCTTTGGTATCTTTCTCAGACTTAACGAGAACATAAAATGTGTGAATAGGGAGATGTTGCAGTTACTCATGTCCTACATCCCCACAAATGTCTGCTCACCCTTTCTTTTTCAACAACATAACTTGGGTCTAGATTCGGGGCAAGTGTTAGGAAGCCCATGTTTGGCCTTGGAGCCATGTCAGACAACCCAGGCCCTCCAATCCAAAGAGATATCTGTTCCCTAACTATTGCCCTACCCCATATCTACTATTTCATAACTGGTAAGAAGAGGTGTCTGCTTAGTGCACAGCCAAGAAGTCTTGAGAAATAGGCACAAGGCTTTGTTTTGGGGGCCCAAAATAACATAAGTCTGGTGCAACTGCTGCCTTAGCTGCTGTCTGTTCATATAACTGCTGTAACACATAGAGGCTGTGGGCCCCTGCAGAACACCGGGGCTTGGCTTTTCAATGTGCAGCATCAGATATCACTAGGTATCTGCACTGGTTGCTCCTGTGTTTTTCTTTCTCTTGTGCAGAAATTTCTCCAGTTCTAAAGCCAAGGAGGAACTGTGGAGCTACTAACTTCTCAGATTCATTCCCTAACCCCTCCACCCTGGTCCCATATCACCATGTGGCCTTCATGATACGAGTTCTGGGTAACAAGAGATCAAATATCATCCAACATACAAAAAGATTCGATAAATTATTATAAACCCAGAAATTTAAAAGTAAATATAAAAAATTGTACCTAAAACATTCTGCCTTTACAAAGCAAGAAGTAAATGGATTCATTTTGAAAATGTAGGAGCGGGAGAGGGGAGGGCAAGTGGAGGGAGGGTATTTGGTGGGATCTCACCTAATGTGCACAATGCAAGGGTACATTTCAAAACAACTAAGAGTATAAAGTGTCTTTACCACAAAAAAATAAGTGAGGTGATGGTTATGCTAATCAGTTTGACTTAGGCATTCCACATCATATATCAAATCATCACATTGTACCCCATAAATGTATACAGTTATGATTTAATAAAAATTAAATTTAAAAAATAAAATAAAATATAGGAACAGTGGGTAGAGTTAAAATTGTAGTAACTATACTGCTTACACTGGTAGAAGAGGGATCCTCTTGTGTAAGAGGCAGGGAGGAAAGGGAGGGTTATTTTACTTGTTATTAGATCACAGAGCATTACTGGAGCCCCAACTATTCTAACAGAGGAAGAGAGTAAAATATCCAGGAGCTCAAACCCTGGACATTCCTGAAAGGCACCTGCCAGTAGCTAAAGATAGAAAGAGCCCCTAAGACGAACAATTTAGGAAGTGACCTCAAACGCAGGATAGCTTTACTAGGTCGTTACGGGATGTTGGGCCTCCTCATCTCTAACTGGGTCCACAAAGAAAAATGAAGGTATGATTAGATGATTTCAAAACAATACAACTATTAGGAGTGGAGGTATGGTTATTTAATAACATTAATAACACTGGAGGTAAGTGTAGAACTTAGTCATGCCACGGAAAACATGCCTGGGACACTGATGTAGTTACTTTTCTATAGGCAAGGAGAGGGAAGATGAACCATGCTAAGAAGGGGCCAAGAAGCCAATGAAAGAGCAAGGCCTTACTTAGCTGTTGGCCCTGTATGAACAGACCTCCTGGTGGGGTGAGAGCTTACATTCTCTTGGCCCTTTCAACCATTTAAAGGGTGACACCTCAAATACTAGGAATGGATGAAACCAACCTTAGAAGCACTGAAAAATCATATCCCTATTGTACCAAAAATCAAAGCACAACTGCTGAAGTAAATACCCCTTAGGCTGAGTCTGCTCTGAACAAAAAATTGGAGCGAGAAGGAGTCTGAAATTTAAAGTATACAGACTTCGATGTGCTCTCGCCTAACAGGCACAATATAAGGGTATATGGCACACCTCCTAGGTGAGAAGCACAACTACAGCATGGACTTTACCTAACCAACCAAAACAATGTAACCCAATCGTCTGTACCCTCATACTAAACTGAAAAAAAAAAACTATATGAACTTTGTATCGTCAAAATGAGAGACAGTTTAAAAATTACTGGTGTTTGTAGGTTTTACCACTTATGCTTAACATATTAAATTTCAGTCAGAGAAAGACAATAACCGAAAAGTGACAGCAGCACTTTTACTACCTTACAGAGGGTAAAGTGACTTCAGTAACTTTGTGACCTTGAAGAAAGCCAAAAAGAACTTATTCATCTTAATTCTCAGTCATAAATAATACCCTTTGTCAGGTAAACTCTCCAGTTTGTATTGATTATTCTTCAGTGAATTCACTTTCATTTCTAAATTCAAATATAGAAAATATGCATATTGTTTTAGCTAACTTACCATTTTCTGAGTCATTACAGTCAAAAAATCACTAAAATTCATTTTCCCTGTCCCTTCCTTATCAATTTCACTTATCATCTTCTTGATTTCTTCTTTCTTGGGTTCAAAGCCGAGGGCCCTCATTGCCACCTATAATGAAAACAGGAATGTCTCAATATGAACATCTAAACTTAGCAGGAGCCAAAATGACACCATGGAGAGGATTAAGTTAGCATCTCATCACAAATGATTGGGGAACACTGTAACACTGATCTAATCAACACTTGCAATCAATTTTATTTAATAACACTAGAGGTAAGTACAGACAAGAAAATGGAGTACAGTACAACCTCCCTGGTTACTTTTTGTAGGGAGAAGAGGGCAAAAGGAGTAGAGCAGTGACAGGGAGATGACAAGGAAGACACAGAGGAAAGGCCAGGCAGTATAGCAGAAATGTGCGGAGCTTGCCTTAAGTTCCTTAACATCTATGGTCCCAGTTCCATCAGCATCAAAGAGATCAAAAGCTTCCCGGATTTCCTGTTTTTGTTCTTCAGTAAGCTCAGGCTTAGGACTCATCCTTTTTCGCTGGGTACTTGATGTCATGTTACCCTTCTTAAAGTTGGAAGCCTTTACACATTATACAAACAAGCACAAAATTATGTAATATAGTCCATTGTTAAAGTAACAGACACCCATATCTATTTTTAAATTAGTTTATCCAAAGTAATTCCAAAGCTTTGCTTAACAAGAGAGATAACAGGGTTTTCTGGAAAGAACAATGAATCTTTCTAGGACCTTTATCCCCTCTTCTTTTTTACTATTGTTTCTAGAAGCAAGGAGATTCATTTAAGTCTTCTTAGATACCTCTCATCTTGAATAGCTAGTCAAAAGAACTGACTGTGGATAACTAGAGATAATCAGCTCTACCTAAATGAGAGAATCCTGGTTCTGGAAACGACCTTGCAACTCCACTCGCCAGTACTCTACTTGCCAGTAAGTACTCGGACTTTCTGATTACTTCTAGTGTTAGTAAGTTTTTAACATGCATACTGTCACTTTTGAGTAATAAAACTCAATGCATTTGGCACCTTTGTGACTTCTCCAAGTAGCCTGAAGCATCTCCTGAATGCCTCTGTATTTAAATTGCAAAATACATATTAACAATCAGAACACAACAAATCTCTTCCTAGCTCTTTGCACAAACTCTTACAGAGAGAGACGGCCAGGAAGCCAGGTTCTGAGAGGGAGGGGTCCAGGCCAGTGGGGAACTCGAGGGTTCTTTTACTCAGAGGGGGCCAACGGAGGAGAACGAGGAAGGCCAGGGGAACCCAAAGGGCGGGTAAGGATCTGCTGTGGGTGAAGGGGAGGCATCGGGGAAGCGCAGGCCCAGCGGGTGGCTGGCGTCTCTACCGTACCCTTCCGGGAAAGAGCTCAAAGGAAGGAAAGATACCACAAAGCCGAGAACGGCTCAGGAGAGCCGGCGTGGCTAGGAAGGGGCCTGGGAAGGGCTCGGCCTTTAGGTGCAGGGAGCCACGAGGAGGCCAGCACTCACCATAACCAACGAACCGCCACCGGTTGTTACGGCAACCAACCTATACACTAACTAGGCGCAGTTCCCGCTGCACCCTGCGCGCGGCCCCGCCTCCCATGGTCGCCCGCTCGCCGCCGCCGCTCGCCATTGGCGTAGGGTCGGAGTAGGTGGGGCTAACCTGCCCACTCTGAGGCCCGGAGGGGGCGGTGCGCTGGCAACCGAGACCTGGCCTCATTGGGTAAGATCACACTGCGAGCGCCGATTGGCTTAGCCATCGCCAAGCCGGACCAATCCTCTTGGTTGGGGTAGCTCGGCAGATTCTCGGCTCACGCGGGCGGGGAGAAAAGAGCGAAGTTTCGCAGTTGGAGCTCTGTGGTGCTAGCTGCGTGCCAACTGAGACCGGACCAAGGGAACCTACAGACAGGTAAGAGTGGTGCCGTTGCCTTTGGAGGCTTCCTTGTGTTGGCGACAGGGCAGGGCCGGAGGGTACTGGGGCTGGTCGGGGTGGCCTGAGTGGGGTCCTTTACGCTATGGTCTAAGACTGGGTTAGGAACAGAATGCATCGTGCGGACTGTGCTCTTGGTGCAACTGAGACCCAGAGAAGAGAAAGGACATACTGAATGAATGTCATGGCATAAGTTGTACAGTTTTTCGGACTTAAAAACTGAATCTAGCTAAGGCTCTTTCTTTGAGTGTATCTGTTCGAGAATACCCCCCAGCTTGAGTCAGATGAGTAAGAGCCCCCAGACCAAGTTTCAAGAAAGGATCAATTTAATTATCACCTGGCTAAAAGCAGGCCAGGACTGTAAGCTAGGGACCTTGGGAACGGACTTTGAAAGGAGTGAAGCGATATGAGTGAGTATGAGGGATTGGGAGAGGTCATCAGAGTATATACTCTTTGATACCCAAACAGTCAAGGCAGGTAGGGAGGAGCATTCCAGGTCGAGACACTCTTCTGAGCAAAGTTACAGGAGTTTTGGAAGTGAGAGATATGCTTGGAGAATTAAAAGCGCCTGAAAGGCTGCGAACTGAGCTGGAGCTGCAGAAGTGGAGGTCAAGAGTCTTCAGAGCCTATTCTGCTCTGTGGCTTTTCACCTTCACCTACTTCCCTTCCAGGCATGGGGGCACTAACTTAGGGAGGCAGAGGACAAAGCCTAAATTTATAAGGCTGAGAAAGGCCTGAGACTTGTTAGCACCCCTTAAATGGAAATTCTGCCCTTTGCCTCATCCCATTTGAACAATAAACTAGATTCAAACTTTTGGGTCATATTTGACTTTCTTTCCCTGCCTCCTCCCCCATATCCAGCGTCCAAGTTCTATCAGTTCTTCCCTTGAAATACTGTTTCTTTCTCTTTTATCTCGGATGTTCCTCTCCCAATTCAGGCTTTCATCATAATCATTCTCCCAAGTAGGTCAAGGCAAAGTTCTTATCATGGTCTGCAAAGCCTGGCAGGACATCATGCTACCCCTACTCTCCTCCTTCTCCTCTCCCCTGATCACTCCACCTGCTTTGCTGTTGGGCCTCACGTGCCAGCACACTTCTGCCTTGAACTTATGCTTTCACTGTCCGCTCTGCTGGCTGGGCCTAACTAAATCTTTCCCTTCTCCAGGTCATTGCATGGCCTCAGTGAGGCCACCCTAAGCATCCTATTGAAGTGCTGCAGCCTCCAGTACAATCAAGCCCCTTACCTTGCTCTATTTTTAACTCAGTGCTTAGCACCTTTTAACCTAATGTATATTTTATTTGTTTTGTTCTTTGTTGCCCCTCCACTAGAAGTCAGGCTCTCTGAGGATAGGCATCTTTGTTTTGTTCACTATTGACAAGACAGGGCCAGGGACAGAGGAGGAGCACATATTTGGTGCTTGGTAAGTCTTGGTCAGATGACTGCTGAGAAGCCCTTGTTTCCCACCTCTCACCTAACTAGGACCCCTGCTCCACCAGGCCGTACTTCCCAGTGAACAGCTCAGTCAGGTCAGCTCCCTGCTCTCAAACCTTCAGAGGCTTCCCATGGTCATGGCATAAAGTCCAGGCACTTTAGCCTGGCAGGGGAGCCTCCTGCCCAGTTTTGTCTTTGGTCACCCTTCTAGCTTCCCGTCCCTCCAAACCCTACCTTTTAGTCAGTCTACTCTCAGAGGACAAGAGACAAACCGAAGTTCTACCCAGTCTGTGTGACCTTCGGCAAGTCACTTGGCTTCTCTGATCCTCAGTTTCTCATCTGTTGAATGAAACCAGTATGGTCTATCTGACTGGGTGCTTTTGGATCTTAATAAGATAATGTGCTCCTATGCAAAGGGGCCTGCTGTCAGGCAAGTCTTCAGGCAATATTACAGTTGGCCCTTGAACAACACAGGTTTGAACTGCATAGGTCCATTTACATGTGGGTTTTCTTCTGCCTCTGCCATACCTGAGACAACAAGACCAACCCCTCTTCTTCGTCCTCCTCCTCAGCCCACTTAGTGTGAAGATGACAAAGATGAAGACCTTTATGAGACCCACTCCCACTTAGTGAGTAGCCAGTGGGCTCAGTGCCTATAGCTCAGTGGCTAGGGCGCCAGCCACATACACTGGAGCTGGCAGGTTTGAATCCAGCCCGGGCCCGCCAAACAACAATGACAACTACAGCCAAAAAATAGCCAGGCGTTGTGGCGGGCACCTGTAGTCCCAGCTACTTGGGAGGCTGAGGCAGGAGAATCGCTTAAGCCCAAGAGTTTGAGGTTGCTATGAGCTGTGACACCACGGCACTCTACCCAGGGCAACAGCTTGAGATGATGTCTCAACAACAACAAAAAAATGAGTAGCCAGTATACCTCGTCTTCCTTATAATGTTCTTTTTTTTGTTTTGCAGTTTTTGGTCGGGGCTGGCCAGCACATGGGTTCAAACCATCCGGCATATGGGGCTGGCGCCCTACTCCTTGAGCCACAGGCACCGCCCCCTTATGATGTCCTTAATAACATTTTCCTTTCTCTAGCTTACCTTATAAGAATACATACACAAAACATGTCTTAATCTACTGTTTGCATTATCAGTAAGGCTTCTGGTCAATAGTAGGCTATTCATAGCCAAGTTTTGGAGAAGTCGAAAGTAAAAACACACAGATTTTCAGCTATGCAGAGGATCTACAGATGAGACCTCTTGGCCAGCAGCAGGGGCATAATTCAGCAGGTAGTCATTCAGACCCATGCTCCATTATTGGCTCTCTGCTGGGCTTCCAGGGCCTTCCAGCCTTGTGGGGCAAGACAGGCATGGAAAATAAGTATGGCACAGTGTGCTAAGTTTTAGACCAGAACATAAACAGGTGCTGAGGGAGCAGCTTACCTCTCCCAGGGAGGGGAAGAAATTGTCACAGAGAGCAGTTGAGGCAGGTCTTAGAGGATGAGGAGGAGCTCCCATGGAGGAGAGAGGTAGGGTATTCCAGACAGAGGGAATAGCACAAGCTGAGCTCCTAGGCATGCTCTTGGGTTTCCAAGTGGTCTGCCACAAAATCCAAGGTGGGAGCTTACTGTGTCCTAAAAGTAAATAGATGAGCAAAGACACGACTGATGGAAACACTCAGACGCCACAGGTTTGTGGGAGGGCAAGGTCGAGCTAGATCACCTCAGTGTAATAAGGGCCCAACTGAGGCCTCTGAAGAGACATGGCCTCCTACCCAGTGGCCTCAGTGATCCTAGTCCATGTATTTTCTTCCTCCTATCACATCTTTGAACTCTGAAAGGTAAGCATTACTTTTGCTCTCACAGAACTGCTGCCTTGCAATATTTTCTCAATGAAATATATCCAGAATGAAGGTATGTGTCCAATCTCAGGTGCACCCCCTCTTTCCACCAGATCAGAGCCCAGCTTGCAGAGCGCTGAGCACGAAGCACCAGGTGATGGGAGGCAGGAATCCTTTTTTACAGTCCCAGGCTCAGTTCCCCATATAAGGAAGACAAAGAAAGGTCTGAGAAACATTATTTGGCTTTCTTTGGATAACCATGCTCTATTGATGGAGGACTTTGAGAGCAGTGTGCTCTCTGCCCGTGAGCTGAAGTGATAAGCTCTCAGTGGCCGCAGTCCAGCTTCCCATACTGGCCTCAGAGACAGGCAGGGCTCTGATGACCGTCCCCTTTACAAAGAGACCACACTAACACTTTTTAAAAGGAGGAGACATTGTTATCTCTCTGTCTAGTATAAAACAAACTGTCCCTTCCTTTGTCCCCAGGAGTCAGTGGTTGGTAACTTTTCCCAGCAGGAAGGAGGAGACTGGGCTAAATCACCTCTTTTCATCAAGCCCTATTGGCAGCTTCACCAGTTCTTTTCCTGGATTTTTCTTAACCTAAGACTTAGTCTCATTGTATATACAAGGTGCACATAATGATTTTTAACGAGTTCAACTACCTAACATGTTAAAGGAAAATGACTTGATGCTTCTGATATGTGAGCCCTCACAGTCCACCAGCCCCCAGAACATTGCTCTTTGTGGGTCTTATTTTCAATAGTTCAAGGTATTGGCTCGGCGCCTATAGCACAACCGGCGCCAGCCACGTACACCTAAGGTGGCGGGTTCGAATCCCCAGCCCGGACCCGCCAAACAACAATGACGGCTGCAACCAAAAAATAGCCAGGCGTTGTGGCGGGCGCCTGTGGTCCCAGCTACTTGGGAGGTGGAGGCAGGAGACTCGCTTGAGCCCAGGAGTTGGAGGTTGCTGTGAGCTGTAATGCCATGGCACTCTACCCAGGGGGACAGCTTGAGGCTCTGTCTCAAAAAAAAAAAAAATAGTTCAAGGTATTCTTCTATGTATGTGTTGTAAAGTAAGTATAACAGCAAATGTACCATAGTATCCATCTTTAGGTACACAGTTCAGTGGCACTAAGTACGTTCCCGTTGTTATATGACCATCAACACCATCCAGCTCCAAAACTCTTTCCATCCTACCAAACTGAACCTGTTCCCCATTAGCACTCACTCCCCATTCCACCTTCTCCAAGCCCTGGCAACCAGCATTCTACTTTCTGTCACTACAAGTTTGACAACGCTAGGTCCCTCACATAAGTGAAATCCTACAGTATTTGTCCTTTGTGGCTGGCTTATTTGGCTGAGTGTAATGT